ATATATATATATATATATATGGTATTAAATCCTCTATAACCATCAAGTCCATTCTTACTACCATCATTCTTTTATTAAAAAGATTAATAAATTTCAGTACAAAATAAAATGCGTCTAAGTATATTTTTTTTGAAGTAATTCTATTTCTGAATGTGGTAGTTCTACGGTCTTATTCCTATTCAGATAAACTTTTCTATACAAATACAGAAAAAAATTGAGTGTCTTCTAAGTTAAAATCAACTTTATATATCTAATTTTATATAAATTTATTTCATTCAACTTCTCAAAAAGTAAGGTATAAAAGTTGATTTTAATTATTGATAAATTCAATTTTTTTTTCCTTGTATGTAAGTGTTTAGTGTGGTAACGGGCTTTATCTTCCTAAGTATATAATTTTAGCTGTATATATATACCTTTTGTGTGTGGGAAAATTTTCAATATTCAAACCTAAAAATAATTCAGAACTGAGGAACGGCAAAAAAAAATTACTAGCAAGACTCAAAATCAGAAGGAAGGCTTCTACCAATTAATTACTTGGTGTCAAATTCTCGCGAGCAATCAAATCAACATGAAGATCATTTACCTAACAAAAAATTTTCTCGAAATTTATTATATACGTAGTGGACAACAGATTTCTCAAAGTTTAATTAACTTCGACATGCATGCATGTAATTAGCAGAGATGAGAGACGAGGTTATCAAAATGAGACAAAACGGATATCATCAATAAATTTCAAAAAGCAAAGACAGCTGTGAAGGGAATGGAAAGCAAATTTTATCTACACAAGTTTTTTCCTTCTCTTATCACACCCAACAAAGGAAGCAGAAGGTTCAAAACCAAATAGTAGTCAGAGGGGTTCCAATATATACAGTGCAAGCAAACTCAGTCTAATAAACTATATATAAGAAACAGTTAGAAAGATGTGTGTCATGTGTTAATTTCCAAACCACCAAGTTACTCAGAAAATTTCCTTCTCAGCTCAGATAGATCTACACTGTCGGAATTGTCAACCTGTAAACCCATTTCATCAATAATTGAAGGGAGAATAATATAGAATATTAGCATATTGTTTTTCCTTAATTAATACATTAACATAAGACAATAATCCTACTACGTACCTCACACTGCACACTGTGGAGTAATCTGCCATTGACTTGAGTTGAAAGACAACTAACAACTTCAAGTCGTTCTTCTAACAGCAGTTGAAGCAATTTAGAAAGTGAGAATCCTTCCTCACCGAATCCACTTATTTCAATCCCCACAGCTCCGCCTCCACTATTCTGGTGAACAGTGAAACCTCCAGAAGCATGCTTGGTCTCATGGTGGCTTTCGAGGCTTTGATTTATGGAGAGTTTCCTCTTCAGTCCATCCCTCTTGTCACTCAATTCTTTAATATTCTTCTGCAGGTGGTTTATGTAATTCACTGCCTGGTTCATTTGATCAGATTTGGAACGCTTTCCCTGAAACCCCAATAGAATAATAAGAGCCCTAAAGTTAATTAGAACACAATAGAGGCAAACTAAGAAGTCAAAAAGAAAGGAAAATAGATGATTAACTGCTTCACCTTGATGAAGTCAAGAGGCAGGAGGGATCTAAGAGAGGCATGAAGGGTAGCCATTTCTTGCCTCCTTTGTCTTTCAATCTCTCTGTGAACCATCTTTTTTGTATATTCGTTAGAATTAGCGTGGCCGGGCTCATAAAATAGTTTGTTTGGGCGGCTTGTAGGCAATTTTTTATCGGAAACGTGATCATCCAGAATCAGATCTTGGGAGATTTTGTGCTGCTGGTGGAGACCATTAGAAAACTGGATCACCAGCTCATTGCCTCGTTGTAAAGGAAACATGGTTGGTCAGCTCAACAAGTAGCACTGTTCCAAATTATTATCCTCAATTTTGGCTAATTAAAGGAAGCACAAATAGGGTAGCCATGTCTTGTTTTCTTTCAAAGGGAATGGGAAGGGGGGCTTATATGCCAAAGATTCCTTCATATAACTACGCAAGGAAAGTGATAGATGGAAATGTGTATGCGAAGACTGACCTCACTATTGTTATTATTTGAGTCTACTGTTCATAACAGAACCCCACCTATTTGCGTTCACATAATAACTTAAGTCGGCACTTAAATTAAGCACCATAAATTGTATTAAAAGGTTTATTTATTTAGAAAAGATTGCAGGAAAAAAAATAATAGAAAGGTAAGAGAGAAAAGGGTATGATAACGGAAACATTTTCATTTATGGATTCTTTCTATCCATTGAAATGATGAAATAAAAGAAGGGGGAGGGGTTGGTGAATTCGGACACCCTACCCATGTGTAGGTCTATCAAAATAAATCAAGTTTCATATGTTTATTATCTAATTTTAATTTATAACTCAATCAAATGAGTAGGTTAATTGGTCAATCAAAACTAACGTCTAATTTTCAAGTAAACTCGCTATAAACAAATGATTCTACAAATTTAAAAGATATTAATTGAAACAAAATGTTATTCTAATTGAATTGTTAAATTTATCTTCTCTCTCTCTTTAATATATGATAATTAAAATATCACCTTAAAACTAACGTCTATCTATTTTATATAAAAAAATACTCAACCAGTACTTTTGTTTATTAATTTATTATTCATTAGTTATTTTAATAAGTTCATTAAGTTTTTATAATAATGTCTCAAAATCTATTGTACAATTCCTCTACCAAAATTTTTTTTTAAAAATAAATTCACACTACTAGATTTTAATTCTTTAGCAATATTTTCTTATTTACATTTGTTAAAATGTTACTATATATTAAACAAATAGGTTATTTTGCAACATTTAAAAAAAAATTTCATTATAGATAGTGTAACATTTTTTATTTCAATATTATTATTTCTAATTGTTTTCAAAATCAAAGTCCCATATCGAGGAAAAAAATTTCACATAGGTTATTTTAAAACATTTTTTTTTAAAAAAAATGTTACTGTAATTGCTTCTAAAATCAAAGTTCCACATCGAGTAAAAAAATGTATATTTCTCTTATCTCAAATTGTTACCCATAATTAAAGTCCCACGTCGAATAGATTAATGACTCGTAAAGAGTATAACCATATAGTTATACTTAAAATAAATGAAATTTAATATTTGATATATAATTAGTGGTAACTAAGTAAGAATATATTTAATCTTCTATCAAAGAACTCTTAGGAGTTTAAGATATATAAAAATATAATAATTGATAATAATATCTCTAAATTAAAATTAATTATTATTTTATAAAATTAATAAAATATTGACAACATCATTAAAATGTTACAAAAATACTACTTTACTAATATTTGAAAAATGTTGTCTAATTATATAAAAATGTTATTAAAAGTCTTTAACAACATGAACAATATACAACATTTGATAATATGTTGTTAAAGCAAATGAGTAACATTTATACATGATTAAGTAACGTTTTTCAAATGTTACTAAAAACTATTTATGTTGTAGTGTTAATCTTACAATACAACCCTCTTATGGATATCGTAGCAACCGCCATTCTTTATGAAATTTAATTGGTCGGATAACTATACACAGCTAATATTGTATTTTTATATAGTGTCTCTCACACGTTATTAAACAAAATAAAAAACATAAAAAATAATTCTTATTTAAACACAAAGTAAAAGAAAGGAACTGTTGCCAAAAGTTGGTACCTTACCGTGATATTGTTGATTATATTGATTCGGTTAATATTTCTTTTAGGTTGTACCCATACACTACTACATTTTATCTCTTTAGTAATATTTTCTTTCTTATATTTGTTAAAATGTTATTATATATTAAATAAATAGGTTATTTTGTAACATTTTTTTTTTGAAAATGTCATTATAGATAGAGTAACATTTTTTATTTCAATATTATTTTTTTAATTATTTTCAAAATTAAAGTCTCATATTGAGTAAAAAAATATCATATAGGTTATTTTGAAACATTTTCTTGAAAAATATTACTATAATTGCTTCTAGAATCAAAGTCTCATATCAAGTAAAAAAAATATATTTCTCTCATCTCTAATTGTTACCTATAATTAAAGTCTCACATCGAATAAATGAATGACTCATAAAGAATATATATAATCATATAGTTATACTTAAGATAAATGAACCTTTGATATTTGATATATAGCTAGTAGTGATTAATTAAGAATGTCTTTAATATTTTCTTGAAAAATTCTTAGGGATTTTGGAGGCATAAAAATATAATAATTGATAATAATATCTAAATTAAAATCATCATTTTATAAAGTTAATAAATATTTAGCAATACCATTAAAATGTTACAAAAATATTACTTTGATAACAATTGATAAATGTTGCTTAATTATGTAAAAATGTTATTAAAAGTCTTTAGCAACATGAACTATATACAAACATTCGATAATATGTTAATTACTAAAAGTTCTTTGTGTTATAGTGATACAAAAATTCGACCTTGATAGTAAATTGAAGAGACTTTTAATTAATTCTTATTTAAATAAATTGGTTCAAACTATCAAATTATTAGTTGAATTTTAACAATTACTATAATCTATATCAACCATAATTTCCTGTCTACATGCAGTTTTGCCTTTTCTAGCCTCTGAACAGAACAACCCCATCATTTTCCATCAATAAGATCCTTTGATTAGAACTCTCTTAACTTTCCTGAACTAGTAAACTGTACCCTTTTACCTGTTTTGCACAACTGAGTTACACTTGAACTAGTCAAGATATACAACACGTCAACACCATAAACACACAATGTGTTGAATCAATTCTAACATCATTATCCGAAGGAACCTTCAGTTGTTTTAAAGTACTTAGTAAAAGTGATACACATAACCTGCTATCCCAATTTCCTTTAGTGTTCATTTAGGGCACAAAATGACACATAAAATTGAGATTTAATTAATATTGGATATTAACCCATGAAATAAAAATTATAACGTTTATTTATTTATATTGAAATTGTACCATCCTGGATAAATTTCGAGATGGCTTCATCGAGAGGCCCAAGCCGAGACTCCCAACACATCTTTGACAAATGCCGAGATGTCTTTACCGAGGAGGGGTTCATCGAGGGTCCTGGGACGAGACCAGTGTTTAAAAAACCGGACCGAACCGGCCGGTTGGACCGGTTGGACCGGGAACCGGTGGTCCAGCCGGTCCGAACCTTAAGTTGGATCGGTTATGCAGTCGACCCGTTTCAAACCGGATTGAACCGGTCAATTTTCCGGTTCAACCGGTGAACCGGTGGGTCAAACCGGTTCAACCACTTTTTTTATTTATTTTTTTTTTATTTTTTTTTAAGGGACCATAAACCACAAAAATAATAATGAAAATTGAATCTTTTAATAGAAGAACAAAGATTCTTATTAAATATAACAATAACTACTTGTTCTAATGTATTTGTTTATATAATATACAACTTAAATAACTTTTATAGTATATTATTAATTTTATATTATATATTTAATAATATAATATATATGTAAATATTACATATATTATTTTGTGATATCAATTGCAAGCATATTATATATGTACATATTATTTATATTTTTAATTTGTATTAATATACAGTTTAATATGTAATTTTTTATATATTTTTTACAAAATAAAAATAAAAATAATTTTAAATAAGATAGAAAAATTGAAATTTAAAATAAGATATAAATTTATTAAAATTTATAAGTATAAAATATATTTAATATGAATATTTTTTTAATAAAAATAAATAAAAACCGAGTCATGCGGTTCAACTAGTGACCCACCGGTTCAACCTTTGACCCACTGACCCAGTACCTTAACCGGTTCGATGACCGGTCCGGTTTTTAAAACTATGGACGAGACCCTTAATTAGGTACGTTAAGACCTTGACTGAGGAGAAGTAGAGGGGGTCAGAAAAAGGACGAATCTTATTTTCCATGAGAGGAGGTCGTAATAATTACATAACAAGAACCTAAATCAGGAACAAAATCCTATCTTTAATGTTCAAAATCTCAACACTAAAACTACCATATAAAATCCCAAGATTCTTGGGACCCACGAGGCCCATGAACAAATAATTATAAAATACTTTAACCCTATGATTGAGAGAAACATATTACACACTTGAATATTTTAACTTTAGTAACTCACCTAGAAAAAAAAACCCTAAACATTTTTCAAGTCGGAATAGAAATCATAGTTGTAATGTGAAATTCTAATATTATCACTAAAACTAATATATTTTCAATTTATAACTTTTATCCTCTTATTACAAATTCTAACTTCTGCCTCTCATAAAGATAGGAATAAGCCAAGCCTTACATTAATTAGGATTATATGATTTAGCCTAGATATATCACAGGTCGAGCCTTATTATTAAAGTCAGCTCAGTCCTTTTATTAATTAAAAAAAATAGTTTGGTCAAAATGTTTTGTTGGCTATTAGAATTTGCTAGGGACAAGGAAATATCTTTTTCATACTTGATAAATTAATTTTTAGAAACTTACAATTAATAATGGTGTTCAGGTGTTTAATTAGAAGCTAGTTTTTCAAATTTGTTTTGTTGAAATGTTGCTTTTGAAGGATGAAACCAATTCAGTTCGATTTGAAACATTTTGGTTTAAATAAGTAATTAACTTAATTAAATAGATTGAGTTTCAATCACTAATGCTAATTAGTTTTGTTTAATTAATTAGTTAGTTTTCAAAATTGAAACACAGTTCAGAAGTTATAATAAATAATATGCAGATCTAGAAACTAGTAAGAGAGAAAGGATACTACACGGAAAGTTCTTATACTACAGTTCTTATCCTCAAATCTTGGGCTACCTCTAATCCCTACAATTATAGGATTTTATCACTTAAATCATACCAAAATTATGTTATGTCTCATCAAAAGTTATTTTTTCTCTGTTTAGAAAATATAGACTCAACAATTTGATGCCAAAACTACTTGTTTTGGTTCCTTGCATCAAATCCATTAGAATAA